CGGCTGTAATTCAGTCCCTCAGCACGAGTGGCGTCGATCCGTATTACCAATTGCACCGCCTGAAGAAGAGGCCAGGAAGTGCGATGCCAGCAAAGGAGGTTTGTTGAGGGTTTACCGGGGGCCGGTGCATTCAAAACGAACGCAAAGTAGAGAGGTTGATAGTTAGCTAACACATCCACGTAGCACGGTTCAAAACCATCGAAAGGGAGGGCCGCATCAGGGTGAAGCCCCCACGCCAGCACGGCTGGCCGTTTTTGCACGCGGCAAAGAACAAGGGTGCGCGACCGCCAGGCGCGCGCCGCAGGTCACGATTGCGCACGCAAGGCTCGATCGCAAAGTCAGCGCTTGGCAGTTGAGCGGGTCCAGCCATACCGGCGCTGCGCAGCAAGACGACAGGCCGCGCGCCCGCCATCAACCCCCGGGGTCCCGGAAGCGCCCCGGACCTAGCCGCGCCCCGACCCCCGGCTGCTGCCCGTCCGGCCGAATAATGGATACCCCCGCGGCATGTCGTCCCAGGGCCGGGGTCCCCTTGAAGGGCTGCAGGTGCAATCCGCCCCTCAAGGTCAAGACGTCCCCACAGAGGCCGCCGCCAGCCGCGACGAGCGCCGCGTCGCACGGGTGACACTCATCGGGGGTCGCCGCCGGCGTCTCCTCCCATGCCGCCGCGCCGCCCGCCGCGCCGCTCGCGCCTGCGGCGCGGCGCACCACGCCGCGCGACTTGCTCGGCGTCCCCGGGGGCGAGGAGATCGCGGGAGTTGTGGTGAAGGTGGCCGCGGGGCCGGGGGCGGGGCGTGCCGCACCGACAACGATGGCTGCGGAGGAGGGCTTCGGGACGAAGCTGTGTTGGTGGCGGAAACCAGGGTTCGCGGCCAGTGTTGGTAGGGGTGCGGGGTGCTGATACCCACACATGAAGATCTTACACGCACATACGCACACAGATGCACGCACACACAGGCATGTGTGTACAAAGACACACACTTTCTCTCTGTCCCTCTCCCTCTCTCCCCCCCCTCTCTCTCTCTCTCTCTCTCTCTCTCTCTCTCTCTCTCTCTCTCTCTCTGTCTCTCTCTCTCTTTCTCTCTCTTCCTTTCTCTTATGCACACCGCACGCACGTTCCCGCACGCCCCCCGGCTGACATACCTGATGGCGTGGAAGGCGTCTGCGATGGGCTGCGTGAAGTCCAGGGGCCGCCCCAGCGGCTCAGTCAGCAGGCTCTGGACCACCTGGGGGGGCGGCGGGTGACCAGCATTGTTTGAACAGCGTTGGTTGACCAGCATTGGTTGACCAGCATTGGCATTTCGAATTCACGCACACCGCGCCAAAGCGTGCAGGTGGACTGCACACCGACCTTGGGCGGAACGCGCGTCCCTTCGCACATGGCAGCCAACAATAGACGCCCATGGCAGCTGCCGCGCGTGTGACCCGCGCGGCGGCGGCGGCCCTGGGCAGCCGTCCCGCCGCGCCCCCCTCACCAGCGCCGTGACCAGCAGCCCCGCCGCCGCGGCCGGCTCCACGAGCCGCAGCGCGTGGGCGGCGAGAAAGTACGCCGCCGCGGCCACGAAGCTCGAGCGGCTGACCCAGCCGGGATCGCTGAGCTCTGCGCGGCCGGGCATGGCGCCCCAGCCGAACTTGAGGGCGTCGACGGTGATGCGGCCGCCGCAGCCGGCGATGGTGCCGAAGA